ACTGTACGCCTCTGATTTTTTAAATTCTATTTTAAAATCGCGATTCATTTAGTAAAACGATAAATTCAAAATCTTAAATCTAAACGAAATGACAAGAGAATACAAACAAAATAAAGAACTCAAATTATTTACAGTAATTGTTGGAAGTGTCCTCCTCCCACACGTATGCAAGCATCTACTCTTCTTCGCACGCGCATTTTTTAAGATTTTTGGGGTGTTCCTTATGGTTTTGCAGCATACTATTATACGATTTTGTAACTCGTCTTCGGTTTGAATCGGCACTGCATACGCTAAGCTATTCAATTCCCCAGATAAAGTAGTCTAAATTATTAGGCTAGGGAGATCTAGGCGGCCATGATAGCGTTCCAGAGCACTCTGAAGGAATGTAATAGATGAACTCCCAAAATTGTAATAAATTTCAAGAAAATGTAATAGAAATTATAATGAACCTAAAATGAACTATACATAAAAAATAGATTCATTTTATTGATATTGATAATTAATGTTTTATGTTTTAATAACTTATTTATTGATAAGAACAACGAAAGTCAATTATTGTCATAATGCAGCACGAGGATATTTTTGTTCCACATTCTTAAAATTTTAATTTTGTTGCAACAGCAGACTCGTTCTGAATTTATCTGCGCATGAATAGTACCTGTAGCTGTAGTACGATTTTACTGTTCTACCCTTCGTACTACTCATGCGCAGATAAATTCAGAACGCTTCTATACTGGGGTTGAAACAAACCTTTTATTAAGAAAATGAAGGAAAAAGAAATTCGGCCTCCAATGAAAGGTCCAATGATATAAGAAACTTTTTAAGCGCTTTGGGCATGCTCAAGAAAATATGTTTGGGATGAACCTAATCAAAGAAACATGTTTGGGATGGGATTAGTTGTATAAAATAATAAACCAATAAAATAAAGACTCGGTGGTTAGTTTCATGTTAGGTTCAAGTTCATCAATTGTTCGAGGCTCGTGAAAATGTAATAGATTTATTGGACATGTAATAATGTAATAAATCCTTCATAAATGTAATACATTTGTTACAATTGTAACAAACTGGCAACATTGGATAGGTGTGATTTAAAAATTTACGCACTCGTAAGATAAAATATGAAGGAGCACCATCGTGCATTAGCCACATCTGGTTTATTAATAAAAGAGCAACATAATCAAGCATTGGCGGCAGATCTTCAAGAAAGTGTAAATATGATTGTCCATCAAGTCTTCTTGGGAGTAAAAATTCGCCTATCAAATAATCATCAATAATATGTCAGCCCAAACATTTAATGAGAACTGTCCTTGATGATTTTATTCAACAATTACATAAGGGGTTTCATCAGTCCATAAATGGTTATTATCGAGTTTCGATAAAAATTAGCTTCATCGCTAAAAATAATGTGCTGTCAAATAACCGATTTTCCAGGTTTTGAAGAAACCACTCACATAAATTAATGCGCAACGGGAAATATCTAGGGAGTAATGCCTTGACTCTTTGAATGTGATATGGGCATAACAAATTCGATGAGAATTTTCCAAACAAGTACATGTGAAACATTAACTGTTGCCGCGATTTTCCTCGTGCTAATTTCGGGGTTCTCCTCAATGTCATGTAAAATTCCTTCTTTAAGTTTCGGTATTCTTACTGTTTAATGGACTCCTTTATCTCTGTGGTCTACTTTTAAAGTTCCGGCCTCGTGAAGACGTCTATGAATCCTAGAAAATGTTCCCGGATCGGGTAGTACCCGATTTGTATACCGTTCTGGCTGGCTTCGTATGCATTTCCGTCTACAAGCCCATAAGTAAAATGCGTGTCAGAATTCACTGTTCGTAAAATTTACTATTTTTTTTTTTATCAGATTTTACCTCTTACTCTAAGAATAATTATTTATTAATATAAAATTAATGTCAACTTTGTTGACTTAATAAAAAGAATCGTCAAAAATGATGACGCTTTACCCAGCCTACTAATTTTTATTTAATTTGCTTTAAGAGGGCATTTAATATGCTTACCGTTTTTTCTATTCAAATATTCAATATCATGCCTACGTGAACGTCATTTGTGAAAGTAGAAAATTAATTTTTGTCCCAAAAAAATGTTACCACGCCTGGTGGGTACCTACCAAATTTCAACCAAATATCAAAAGCAGTCTCAATGAATTTAAGGGAAAAATTTGACCATCCACAAAAATGGGTTTTATTGTTTTATACGAAAACGGTGAATCATACGGAAGTAAGTCTGTGGACCAAATTTGCTCCAAATGAGGATTTAAAAAATAATTTTAATTTTTAGAAAAAGCAGTGGCGTTGTCTTTTTTTTTTTTCAAAAATATGTTCAAACCCCGTACAAACGTCGCTGGTAAAAATTTAAAAAAATCTTTATCGTTAAGAAATGCTCCTTAATGATTAAAAGGTGTATACAAAATTTCATAAAAATATCTGGAGTGATAAGAAAATTATGATAAAAATGTTATTTATTTCTTAAAACTGTAGCTCAAAAATTAAGAGGTTTACGACCTATGTTGATATTAACTTTTCTTCTTAAAATCACCCAAAGATTCACACCCTTAAGTATCAGCACTCAATTAATAAACACCTTGTATCGAGCTTTGTTTAATAAAACGAAGTTTAATATGCTTCAGAGATTTTTTAAATTTCATTTTCCCCATGAGCAAACACCTAAGTAGTGACTTTCATGGCCCGATGAGATAATTTACTATACTCTGTTTTTAAACTAGGAGGAGCAAATTTAATAGACGCATTTACACAAGGAAAAGTAACTAGATTCGTTACTAAGAGCATGTTCCGAAATACAGTCGTGTTTAATAGTATATTATTAAACGAGCAATTTATGGTAGCCATTATTCACGCAGGGTGACGTTTGCGTCCCGAGCCGTAGACAAGGGGCGCAAGTCACCCGAGTGAATAATGGCCATAAATTGCGAGTCTAATACTATACTTTGTCCACGACCATTATGGTTTCTTTATTAAATAAAAGTTAAGTGTAGAATTGAAAGTTTTTATTAACCATAGGTAACTGTTTTTTTTTTCGACTTTTCAATTTTCCGATTTTTCGATTCTTTGATTTGTCGATTTTCGATTTTGAAAAGTATCGCCCATCTTTAGTTATCTACCGGTATGTGCCAAAATTACAAAAGCGTGAATTATCATAATTCACTCTAGTGATATATGGGTACCATATGCTTTTAGTTAGGAGGTAGAATATTGATTTTTTATTAAGTGGTCGTGGACAAAATTTATGTAATAGTTATTATTATCGGCCCTAGTCGGCGAATAGCCAATGAGGGATTAAGGAACAAATAAATGTAATAGGAGTCGATTTTTTTATTGGTTCCAAACAACGGTCGTAAATTTCAAATTATTGTGACCTGAAAAGTGTGACTAAAACGAACTGTCACTGTCAAATGAAATTTAATATGGTAGTTGATTTGTTGACGTTATCAGAAATATGTTTCTCTTGCTTTTGAAATCGACTTTTTGAGGATTATGATTTTTTTAAATGAATACTGAATATGATATTTGTTTAAAGAATATCAAGATGCAGGTTAGTATAAAACATGAAAATATGATCGTTTTACATTTTCAATGATTTATTTGTTATAGGTATAAACTTAAGTAAAAGGTATTAAGTGAATGGCAACTGGATCACAGTGACTGGAATTTATCCATGAGTAATATGGATATTTTAGCTAATTTGGTGTTAACCCATAGTTAATACGCTAAAGGGCAAATGAAGGCATTCAAAAGTTTGCAGGCCTATGAGTCAGGATTTGGTTTGAAAACTGAAACCAACATTTTTATAACACTACATGTCAATATTAAATCATTACTAAAACTTAATTTAATAATATTGCAGGTCCTTTTAACTCGAGTTGTAATTTTTACCTAATTTTTTAATTTAAATAAGTGAACTATTCATATGTACCTTTACCTATACCAATACCAATTTTGTAAATGATTTTCTAATAAACAAAATTTACTTGAATATTTAGTTACTTTTTAATCATTTTTACCTTTAAAACCAATAATGTATTTTCTACAAAATCTTCAGAATCAGCATGTAAAATAATAAGTCGTCTTCCCTCTCTTGTAGGGCCTTTCAGGAATTGCTACCCTTAATAGTAATCCGTGAAAAGGATCCATAATCGTAGAAATTCAATATAATTACTTACTGAAGTTCTAAACAGAACTATTATTTACGAATATCAAATATATCAAAATATAAAATTTCAGAACTGTCAACAATATCAAGCTGATGTTAAAACTAAAAAGTAATGTGTGAAACTGACTGCAATCTGACCAATCAGAAATCTACAGGATTGCGCCGTGGCGCTTAACGTGTTAAAGGTTTTAATTTAAAACTATGGCTCTGGAGTAATTACTCGTTATTTTAAAACTGGACACTTGTATCCATATTTCTCATAAGAACTGCAAAAAATATACATTTCACGCAGTATAGGCAGCAAGTCTATCTATCCTATATAAATTTTATATTTTGTGTATGCTATATCTGATATAAAATTTAAATTCCATTCAGTATATCATGATATCATCATTCGTGTACCTACTCAGGTTACTCTACACTGCCCATGAATCATGACTCCAAATACATTTTTTATATCGTATTGACCTTGACAGTCGCAAAGTGTTAAACAAAAAGCAAAATATTACTTATAGCTCTCGTCCATTAACTTTATTTAGCTCCAGTGATAAATCCTTATAAGTAATAGTAATGTTAAAATATTTTTAGGTTTCTTGTAGTTTGAAATTAGCGCTTTAAGCCGCAGTAAAAATATTTTATATTTTCGATAAAAAAATGATTTACTTAAAAATATTGCTAACTGATAGATCAATTATTTATCTAGGTATTTGTCTAGGTATTAATCTATTTATCTCAAACCCACGTATCTAATAGCAACAAATTTAAAAATTTTCAGTAACAAGTGTCTAGATTAAAATAATATATCTACTCACCGAGAAATACCAGCTGACTTCTGCAAAAACTAACACAAAATCTATTTGACGCCCACCGACACTGAATTAAATTTTGGATTTGGATATATAATCGATATTTACGGCTCCACAAAGCTTCAACCTTGACCAGTCCCATAAAAATCTATATAAAAACTAAGACGATAAATATTTTGGGCGAGTTTTTATGTTTATCTATTAAGTGTCAAAAATTATAAGCTCAATGCATAAAAAAATTAAATGTGAAGCATGCATACAGATGTCTCTGATGCATAGGTGAAGCATGGAGCATGTATTAAACAGGGTTGCCGATTCGTTAGTGTACGAGAAATGTATTTTATATCAAAGAGAAAACATAAGAGAGTGACAATCCTAATTTCTGGTAGCACGTTCTGTGCGCGTTGACTGTTGCGACGCGCTCGGCAACGAGCATGAACTAGACTTTTACCGGTAATGCAGATTTCCTTTAATTTAAATTTAGGCGGTAACGTGTGTAACACTTTGAGTCTTTTTATTTTTCTATGCTTCGAGCATAATAACATCAAAAGACTGTTAGCAATGAAAATTTGTAACTTTGTACACAAACTTGATATTTTTTAAAGAATTGCGAAAAATATCGAATTAGGTACAAAGCATTACAAAGTTACAAACTCATTAACTATAGATTTATATTTTGAAAAGGAAATGTTATTAAACGAAGGTATTAGTAAATGTATATAAACATATTTTTTCCTACGACCACTTAGGAAAGTGACACATATCACACTATATAGTCCTATGGAAAGTGCCCTCTATATCACACGCGTATGAATAAGAATTTACTTTCCACCCGTGTACGAATATGCTACTTTCCGCAGCAACTGTCACAAAATGTCAAACAAATCATTTCTATTTTGATCTATGTAATGTCCATATTAATACTAAAATCGATATGATTGTTAAATTAAATTGTTGTAAATTAGATCCTAGATATTTATCTTTAACAATTATTATTAAAATAATTTTAAAATAACTAAGATATGTTTGCTTTTTATTCTGGATAAACACATAACCGATTAGATCATTCAATTAAAGTAAGACCTATTAGCTCAGATGGTTAGAGTGTCAAACTTACCAACTTTGCCATTTGAGACCTCGCGAGCGACCGCGTTCAAATCCTGGTGGGGCCAAAATTTTTTTTTGTTTTTTTAATTATTGTTTTTTTTTTATTTTTTTTTATTTGTTTAGAAAATATATGAAAATTGAATAAATACGATTATTGTTGATTATTTTTTTAAATACATTTTAATTATTATAATAACCTGGTTTTACATTTTTTGATGAAATTGTTTTGTGGTCGTAGGAAAAATATTGTACATTGTGTGAAAAGTGATTTTCCACACTTGTGTGATAGTCGCACTCGGCTTGTGCCTCGTGCGACAATATTTCCCACTCGTGTGAAAAATGTCACTTTCCACACTCTTAATGTAAAATGTAATATACTATATTGCAACAGGTTCGCATAAAAATCTGAAAATGAACATTCACAAAAATACCACTGGCCTATTTTAATCGATAATTTGGCCAAATATTTTAGAATCCTTATTGTATGAGATGGAGGCCAGATCAAATGACTAATAAAATAGAAGAAATCGGCAATTGACTAAATTTCTTCAAGACGAAGGCCATGAAAATTTGGAAGGAAGAATTAAATAACCTAATATATCTGAAATTTCTTGAATTGAAATATAAATAAAAACTAAAAAGAATCAAATATGAATTCCAAATAGATAGCCGAAGCAATAAAGCGTTTAGAACAGAGGTTACTTATGAAATATTAGTATGAAACTATAAATTGGTATGTTGATCCAATTCGATATCCGATGATCCTCTTTCAATTGCTGTTGGGCTGCTAATTGCTATTGTATGCAACAGAACGAACCATTTTCTGCAGTAATCAATGATTTGGCGACTGTATGCTTTTAGAAGTAGTCTGTTAATCCACAATCCATCCTTTGTTAGATATCATATTATAATTTAATCAGAGAAAACTTAGGAGATGAACAACTATGCTTGAAAATTATTCCTATTAATTATATTCAATTGTATATCATGTGGTTTCCTTCAATTTTTAATTATTTGTCATAAATCGCTCTTTGTCATGCACCATGAAAGGTGAATGCAGGAGGGAGCCAATCTATTTTCTAAAGACATTGCCACTATAATATAAAAATACCTCGAACTCAAAGGCTTTAATAATAATAACACTTTATTAATCCTTTTAGATCATATACATGATATAGGATAAATCATTTACATGTAAAGATATACTATAGTACCTATACATTTACAAAACAGATATAAAATTTAACCAACACATTTAAATATACAATTTAACAATAAATACACAAAATTAAAATTAGGACTGATATGCTTGAAAATACCCATATGACATAGGATGTACCTTGTACTACAAAAACTACAGGAGAAATTCATGAATGCTATAGGGGCATTTTTGGGGTAAATAGCTTATTAATTTGCATTTAAATGAGCTCGGACTATTAATGGGCGTGTTCAGTGTAAACGAATTTAACGAATCTGATGCTATAAGCAGATTAAGCATAAAAAAACAATTATTTTCGTACAAAAACTACTTTAAATTAATAATAAATAACAAAGTTATAGTGCCTTGAAAAGTTCACTTTTAAATCAATAATTTAAAACGCATTATTTTTGCGGCATTATACGCGTCATAATGAAGCGCCTATTTTCATTGGTCGCTGATGAATCGATGGAACCATAAAACAGTCAGCACAGGAATTCTTCTGTGCGAATTTGACAAGAAAACCGCGTTTGGTTCTCCATCTTTTTCTAATAGTAATATTTATGGTTAGTTATCTCTTTCTAAAATTGTATTAAAATTAGGTTGGTACGTGTTTTGATATATAAACAAACAAAGTTTGTATTTATTTTGTTTTTTAACCTCGTTTGTAAAAAAAATTGAAATTGTTTTTAAACTGTGTGAAGAAACCCTTGTTTATTTTACGTTCTATTGAAAATGCCTGGTTATATTTTCAAGTGTTTGGTCCCTACCTGCAGTAATAAAACCAGCCAAGTTGACAAAATTTTCATAAAAGTTCCTCAAAATCTGGACATTCAGAAGCGATGGTGGGCTGCAGCAAAAGTAAAAAACACAAACTACCATCGTGCTTTTATATGCGAAGACCATTTTGACGTAAGATACTTACCTATTTATTTATTTTTTTCAATTTGATATCAATTTATAAAACATAGTTGATCAACTTTGTAGGTTAATATACCTTATTATTTAACACCGAGCTTGTGGATACTAATGAATAATTGTATGAATTTATTTTTATTACAAAAATGTACTTTTTAGGTGGAAAAAGATGCCGAAAATTGGATGCAGTTCAAAATTATTGGTAAAAATTTAAAAATTAAAGGAGATGTTGTGCCTCATAAATATATTGATAGACCACCCAAAATTCCGATTAAAAGCTCTTTATCTGACTCTGCCAAAAAAAGAAGAATTGAAACTTTGAAATGTATTGAAAAAAAGGAAGAATGTTTAGCATCAACCTCATTCGAGCATAATGTATCATCACCGAAACGACCAAAAACTTCTTCAAAAATAGTTGCCAGAAAGCTTTTCAAAACTGACAGTGAATCACCAGATGAGAAACGTATGAAAGTATCATCACATATTGAGTCACCATCTGGCTCATTTCAAATACATTATTTAAGGAAAACTGAAAACACATCAAAATCAGTTCAGGCAAAAATAACACCAATCATGAGAAGTGTGTCGACTGAGACCAAATATAAGGATTTGAAAAAAAGTAATATAGTTGCAGAAAAAAGTTGTTCTCCTATTTTAACAATGCAAAAACTGACCGAGTCTAAACTAAAAGCTAGTTTAAAAAAAACAAAATTTCCAAGTGATGTTAGTTCATCTTCTAGAGACTCTGCTACACTATCAACATCATCCTGGAGTCAGACGAATACTACTTCCACAGAAGAAAATAAAGAAACCCTACATAAGCCTAGTTCTAGGAAGGATTCTACTTTATATTTAATAAAACAACATTCTAAATTTTATTTAGGAATTCCCGATGATTTATATAAAATGGTTGATTTTATTTCTAAGAAAGCACAAATTCCCTCAGATCATGTTATACTAACTTTATGGAAAATTAGGTTGGATGATCCATATATTAGAATAGGAAGAGATTTTGATCTCTCGCGATCTAGCATCCATAATATTTTTGTTGATTCTGTGCCAAAAATTGCCACTGTTTTACAACATTTAATATTTTGGCCTGAAAAAGATATTATAAAAAAATACTTGCCACTGCCTTTTAGAGCAAGATATAATGAAATTCAAAGCATCATTGATTGTTTTGAAATTGAAATTCAAAAACCTTCTAATCCCTTGAAACAATCTAGTACATGGTCAGAATACAAACATTGTAATACAATAAAATTTTTAATTTCTTGTACCCCCAACGGATTTATTAATTTTATTTCAGAAGGCTTTGGAGGAAGAATTAGTGATACTGACATTATTTCCAAAAGCAAATATTTGGAGGTTTTGCCAAAGTGTCATGTAATGGCTGATCGAGGGTTTAAACATGTTGCTTCCTTACTTGAAGCCAAAGCATGTTTATTGATAAGACCACCATCAGTAAGTACTGGACAAAAATTGACAGTGGATGAAGTTAAGCAGAACAAAAGAATTGCTTCTTTAAGAATTCACATTGAGAGAGTGATTCGTAGAGTCAGAGAGTTTTTGATCTTAAAACCACATGCATGTATAAATAATAACTTGTTACAATTCATAAATGATATTACTGTCATAGTTTGTGCGTTAATTAATTTGCAAACACCATTAATATAAAACATTTCTGCCAAACTATGTACAGGGTGAGAGTGAAATAATTTGTAATTTTTACAGTCAATAGTATGTCATTAAAAAATATAATTTTATATTTAATAACCTTTAACTACTACTATCTTGTTTATGAAGTATTCTGAATGACTTATCAATGCATAGCCCAAACTATTTAACATATAAAATTTAGAATTAATGTTATTTTTGTATCAACTTTATAAATAAAGATATGCCTGTTTTCGAGTTATAATGGTAAGTCAATATTTATATGAGGATGTCTATTATATTTAAAAACCAAAGATGTTACAGTCAAGACCAATGATAATTAAATATCAAGAAATATATTTTTTTTTAGTT